AAGATAAGATTAGGTATCAATATGAACCACCACGTTGGTGCAACAGAGGCCTTCCAGGTCACCTAGCAGGCACCAGTGCACTACTTTAAAAGCCTACACGAAGATGTGCTTGCAACAGCCGAGAGAGTGTCGAATTGGTTAGAAAACCCGGCGTTTTAGGGCCAAACGACGTCGATACAGTCGGCCTGCCTTCGTTAGCAAACTTCGGGCGGTACTCACACGCACTCCACGCGTTTGGCGCATAGATATCGCTCACAGCCTACTCTGAATACCCATACTCCCTGACCACAACGTCCACCGACATGCAGGTGACATGGGAATGAAGACTATGTCTAACAATTCCTGCTCCCGAGGACCATGTAGATACTGCACATAACTGAAAAGTTCTTTTCTCGTGTCCATGACGATAAACGACTGAAAAGGTTGGTTTGCTAATCTACTTTTCTTAGAGCGAATAAGCAGATGAGTGCGGCTCACGGGCCAGCTATTTTCCTTTAATTATTTTCTACAATCTAGGGAAAATGTGTATGCACCTCACAAATTCTCTTTCGATTTCAATAAGTCGTTTGATCGCGTTGACCATATCAGTATCAGTTTATTTAGGGAAAGCTAGGCGAACGCATTTGAACTCCCTCTTGGTAACAAGATGAAAGAAAATATATGGATAAAAAGGAAAATTTAAAAAGTACGTGAATTGCGTGTTCTGGAAAAGACACAACAGTTGTCAGGCCGCCGAAACAGTAATAAAAACATAACTGCTCGTTAGGCACGGGTAGTATAAAGTAATGTAATGTCGTTTTACATGGCGGTGTGCTATGATGGGATTTGCTGTATGTCCAGTCTGGTCTTAGATGAATTAACACTGGTGGAGACGACAATCCCTTCGGGAAGGGCGTTCAAAGATGCAACTATTCTAGTAAGTAAGTAGAAAGTAAGTTGTAGGAAAGGGGAAATAGATCGGGGGTAGACAGTCTACATTCATATGGAAGTGTTTCCAGACCTTTGACCATTTTTGTGGCTCGCCTCTGGACCTTCTTTAAGAGGGAAGCGAGTTGATGTTTTCGAATTCGCAATTACGACAAACGCTTAGATTGCTCATTCAGTAAGAATTTTGATGTGGGAATCTCGACCTCTCTGCCAGATTAATCAAACCACGGAATTCCCTCACTGCGATTTACGGCCGTTATAATTTTATGGTCTCTTTCGAGTTATTTCAATTCACGCTGCCTTTTTAACAGCACCAGTTCT